AGTTAGCAGCTGAATGACGATGTGACCTAGTGTCTTCATGAGAGCCTTCTCCTCATCACTTCCATGGGAGGGACTTCACTTGCAGAGCCCAGAGGAGCAGCTCTGGCAGGTGACAATGCTGAGCGCACCGACTACTTCAGGGTTGGCATCGAAGTGAGAATGGATCCTGCTCAGAGGAACACCTGTAGTCCCCCCCATGAGCCTGTGCTGGACTCTGTCTGTGGGCAGATCAAGACTCTTGCTGAGCTTGTCCCAAAGAAGGGACCAGCCTGTGGACACAGCTTTCCCAGTAGCCATTGTAAGAATCCTCTAGTTTCTGGAAGTTTGACTCCAGGGCTCTAAAGGAGGCATGGGGAAAGACTCAGGCTACATTCTCACCTCATTCAAACAAAATCTAGGGCGATACTCAACTTCATCCTCCTTCAACTTCCATAGCCAGTGCTTTTCAGAGCTTAAAGGGGCTTCCAAAAGTACTTGTATCACCCTGAGTGGTTCTCAAAATGTATAAAAAGAGCTTCTTCCAAGCAAGGTTTCATTGGAAGATGAGTACCACTGCTTCTCAAGAGTTTAAAACTGCCGTTGCCTTCTTCATTTCACAAATGAAGACACCAGTGCTTGGAGAGGATGCCTCCAGCTCTCTCTCATTGCTCATCACCAGTGTACAGCACTTGATGAAGTGCTAACTGTAAGCTCAAGCCTTCTAGTAAATCAAAGGACATCAGCCTCTGGGGCAACGGCCAACATTTGATGAATGGAAATAAATGCTGTGGGAGCTGCATTTCTGCATCAGGATACATGGCTGCATTCCTCTCATGGCCAGCAGATGGCACCAGCTCCCCACCCTCCAGTCCTCTCTCTCCAAGGACGCCCAATACTCCAGCATCAACGCCAAAAACCCTGGACTGCCCTTTTCCACTTTCTTTCTAATAAAGCAATTTACTGCCAACAAGAATGATATACCAATACAAAACAATAATGGCAGTCCGACGGACTACTACAAGAATAAGCAAGTTGCTCACCCAGGAGACATCAAGGCAAGTCCCCTCAGGGCAAACCCCCTTCCAAGACTAAGATTCAATGGGAATACACGAGCAGACATGTGCTCTGATTGGTGACCACGTTGGTCACGGATAAGGAGAAGTGAGGGAAAAACAGCAATGAAGCTGCGAGCTAAGCCCTACAACATTCAACAGATTCCTGTGAACCCAGGTGGAGACCTGGCTGGCCAGCACTGTGGCAAGACCTAGGGACTCTTTGGCCCAGAGTCAGTGACATAGCCACAGCGGACTAGAGTGGAGGGTGAAGCATCCAGCTGATAAGAAGAGCGGGCACATGCACATTCACATTTGCAGATAATACCCACTTGATCTGGCTTCAATGGCTGGATGATCAGAACTCAACTAGAAGAAGAAAGAAGAGGAAAAAAGGGTAATCTGATACAATTTGATGAACTTGACCTACACCTATGGATGTATTAGCTCAAAAGAGGGAACAAATCTTTACAGCAAGGATCATTCCCACCCCCTTGATATATAGGATAGACAAGAATGGGCAACTTGGACACTGGCTACCCAAAATGGGGGAGGGTTACACAGGCAAGAAGTGACTAGCTTACAAGCTTTCAAGAGGGAACCTAGATCCAGAAGGCACAAAGGAAGGTAGAATCTCCACGGAGTAGTATCCTATCTGTCTGAGTGGGGCTGATGAAAGGAGATGGGGATGGCTCTCATGTGGCACAATAGTGAATAATTGTTATCAGGACTGACTGAGGGTTGGAAATTTAAAGGTGGATGTTTTGTAGCAAAACAAGGGGAGTGGTTGACTTTACAGTCCAGGAGCGGAGGTCCCTGGGACCATTAAGGAAGAAGAATAGAATGCGGGACCCTATCCAGAGAAGCAGTGACACCAGAGATGGAGGCAGAGACGATGACGTAGAGAGATGGAGTGGCTGGGGACTCTATACCCAGAGAGGGAGAGGGACTGTGTGCTGACGACCGGGGGCCGGCTTGAGGGGTATACTCTTTGGTTGTTTGATGATGCATGGAGGGGATTGTAACCATGGCAATGAAATGATATACGATAGGATGAATGCAAAGCTAATGTTCTCCCATATAAATGATCACATAATTCACAATAAAACATTTAAAATAATAATGATATACCAGTAATCCCAGATACCATGGGGTAGGCTGACCCCTGCTGACCCACGTGTGTCCAAGCAGAACTGTGCTCCAGATGGTTTTCAGAAGTCAATTGTTAGAAGTAGTTTGCCAGACCTTTCTTCCCAAGCACTTCTGGGTGGACTCGAACCATCAACCTTCCAGTTAGCAGCCAAGCACATTAAATCCTTACAGCATCATGGGATTCCAGTAAGCATGATGTTGACTTCGATATATTGGAAAGCGATCAGTTTGCTTACATGTTGTAATTGTGGGTCTACACTAATCTGAGTGATTTGAAAGCAGAAGGGAACTTGGTCCTGTTCCTTTCCCCATGTCTAGCACAGTCCCCAGTTCCCAGCTGAAAACCAGCCAAGGTTTATTAAAGGGGTAAAGAAGTGACGAGTTTAAACAGTGGCCAAGGTGAGCCTGGTTCCAGATAAATCCTTGTCCTTTCTTTGAAGGAAGACATGCAGACAGTGGGTGAGCTCCCAGGACCCTCACCTCCGAGGAGCAGGCAAGAAATAGAATCTTGACCAGAGAGATGTTCTTGGTAAAGCAGGGGACGTTTTCTTCTCCCCATCTGCTCAGACAGGTTGTGAAGCTGATCTTCCTTAGTGATTATGACTTGGAGGATTTTCCAGTTCTCTCCCGTTGGAGAGAACACAATTTGAAAACCACTGAACGAGTTAATCCTTGAGGTTTCTTCCCAAGCCGAGAAGCACTGAGCTGTAGAACTTCATTGGGAAGAAAAGGATCAGAAAACACGTTCTCAGATCCCATTCTTCCGAGGTGTCTCCGGGTGGACTGGGAGTTCTAGCCTTTCGGTTAACAACCGAGTGCTTCACCAAAGGTACCGCATAAGGCGGATAATGGATGTGGCTTCCCCCAAATGGCCCTTTAGATGGTCCAAGAGGGACTTGATGAGGCTGGGAGTTCTGAAAGGTGGTCACCAGGTGACACAGGACCAAGTGGTTAACCCTAACCAAGAGGTCGGTGGTTTGAACCCACCAACTGCTCCGCAGGAGAACGATGAGGCATCTGCTGCCATAAAGCCTTGGGAACCCTGTGGGGCAGCTCTATCCTCCCCTGTCCTCTATGGTCTCTAGGAGTCTGAAGCGACTCAGTGGCAGTTGGTGCCTTCCAACCTTGTGGTTTGGACTTCATTCACACAGGCTTTTATTTCTGGCAAGTGATACTACTTCTCCACTGAAGGGAGCAATGTTTTCTTCTAAAAGAAGAGTTAAGAAAAGCAAATCATTTGATACAGCAATGGTGCAGATGGTTTGTGGGTTCCACAGGTGGTCTTGGGGTCTGACATTTAGCAACTGCAGCCTGGACCCGGGCCTGACAGAGAGTCCAACTCAGGGTTCATTTCTGGAGCGATTCAGTCCTTGATTCAGCTCCCTCCCCTTCTTCCCCTGTGAGAAACAAGTCTGCCCGAGCCTGGGGTGGATGGGGGGCAGCAATGACAGAGCACAGGGACCCCTTTCCCTGGGGTTTGGAGCAGTGGGTACCTGAGGCTCAGACTCAGCCTTCTTAGGCGCCCCGGCCCCGGGTGAGGGTCCTTACCGAATTTGGTGTAGAAGTAGCACACAGGCATCCTGGCAGTGTCGTACTGATGTAGGAACCTGCACTGGTCGCCCTTTGTGCACAGACCCCGTAGCCAGTGCTTGCACACCACCGTCTTGCCCCCGATGTCGTGCCGGAAGGGGCAGCGTTTACCTGGAGACCCCAGAGCACCCAGCTGGGAGGCCCACTCCCCCTCAGCCCCGGCCAGCTCACCCCTTTCCAGGAATTACTAGGCATGTGGGTATCCCACCTATGTGTCCAATCCCCTCCTTCCCCCAGCTCTCTGGTGACTGTGAGTAGCCATCAAGTCGGTCCCCTACTCAGGGTAACCCCACACACAGTGGCCATGTCTTTGGTCAGACTGCTGTGATTTCTAAGGTCTCCACTGGCTGCTTTTTGGAAGATGATCACCAGGCCTTTCTTCCTGATCTTAGTCTAGAAGTTCTGCTGAAATGTGCACTGCATCAGAGAAAACACGCCAGCCCCCCACTGACAGATGGGTGGTGGTTGGACCAGAAATGGAACCTGGGTCCCCACAGGGAAGATGGTAATGCAGCCACTGATCCACCAGTGGGGGTGGTTGTTGTGAAGTTCTGACTCATAGTGACCCTGGAGAGGGTTTCTGAGCAGTGGCTGATGGTCTTGAACCGCCTACCTTGCAGTTAGCAGTCCAGTGCTTATCCTACAGCATCACACCAAGGCTTCATGCTTCATGGTAGGAGCTAATATTGGGGGCTGAAGGCAGCGTAAAGGCCATGCTGGATCCTTAGACTGCTGTTCCCACCTCCACCCTTCCACCAGCTCTCCTTGCCTGCATGCCCCTCATCAGCAAGTCCCTTCTCTGGTTGCCCAGCTGTTGACCAAGCCTCAGGCCCAGGGCACTGGGCACCATCCCACCTCCAGGCTGGTTCTGTGGCTCTGACTCCAGAGCATCTCTGAATCCTAACACACAGCTCATTCAGGGTCCGCTGACTCTACGCATCCAGAGAAACAAACACTATACTTCACGGTGAGGGGGAGCCAATCTTATAACGATTCAAGGGCACATTACATTTAATTCTATATCATCTGTATTGAACTGGCATTGTCACCAGCAGGAAGGGCATCCAAACGCCTACATTTCTAAGCTGGCCTGGCCTGGTGGTGCCCAACTCTCTCTGCTAGAACCTGAGGAGTTAAAAGGATGCTCTATTTGAATGCCCTGAGCCCTGCCCTTGGCCATTGACAGAAACCCTGGTGATGCAGTGGTTAAGTGCTCATCTGACAACCAAATGGTTGATGGTAGAAACCCTCCTGGAATTCTGTGGGAGGAAGATGTCACATTGGGCTTCAGTAAAAAACAACCTGTTTTTTAGTTAATTCCAACACATAGTGGGCTCTCTAGGATGGAGTTCTACCACCTGTGTGTCAGGCTGTTGTACTGTGGTGGGGTGCATGTGGCTGTGAGGCTGGAAGCTATACCTCCGGTATTTTAAATACAGCAGGGTCACCCATGGTGGTCAGGTTTCAGCAGAACTTCCAGAGTAAAACAGACTAGGACTATAAAACGGACTGAGAATATTGAAAGTTCCATGGAGTGCCAGAAGAACAAACAAATCTGTGTTAGAAGAAATACAGCTAGAATGTTCCTTAGACGTGAGAATGGCGAGACTTCACCTCTCTTACTTTGGACATGTTGTCAAGAGGGACCAGTCTCTGGAGAAGGACAGCATGCTTGGTAAAGTGGAGGGTCCATGAAAAAGAGGAAGACTCCCAATGAGATGGATTGGCTCAGTGCCAGCAACAGTGGGTTTAAGCATTAACAATTCTGAGGATGGTGCAGGATAGGGAGTAGTTCATTCTTTTGTGCTTCAAGCTGCTATGAGTCAAACCAACTTGATGGCACCTAACAACAACAATAAAGTGGAACTCGTGTGGTGCTGTAGGATCAACACTGGACTGTGAACCACAAGGTCAAGCTCTTCAAACCCACCAGCCACTCTTCAGAAATACATGGCTGCTATGAGTTGGAACCGACTAGGCACTTAACAACAACAATGGAGTCCTGGTGTGGCACTATAGAATAATGCACTAGACAGAAAGGTTAGCTTGAACCACAAGGTCAGTGGTTCAAACTCACCAGCCGGTCCTTGGAAACCCTGTAGAAGGTTGCTATGAGTTGGAACTGATTCAAAGGCACTTAACAACAACAAAGCTCAGAAGGCATAAGGTACAGAAAAGAGGGAAAACTAGAAACAGAAAACACAGGAACAAGTGGGAAGAGTGTTATTACATGGTGGGGACTGAAATCAATGCTACACCGTGGGGACTGTAATCAGTGTTACACTGTGGGGACAGTAATCAATGTTACAAAGCAAAATGTGTCTGAATTGTTTAATGGAAAACTGATCTGCTCTGTAAATGTTAACTCAAATCACAATTAAAAAGTTCCTAATACTTACATTTGGTGAGGGAGAGTGGCTTAGAGAGAGGACATTACTTACCAAATTTGGGTTGTGGGGGTGAGGAATGGACCTGGCTCCACAGAGACTTAGAGGTCAGGGATAGAGGGGTTCCCCTCTTGGCCTCTGAAGACACATAGGTCAAGCCCATTAGCCCTTGGGCATCCCCACAAGGCAGAAGAAGGGACTAGCCCTTCCTGGTGGCTCAGACAGTGATGTACCCTCAACACACATTTGTACACACACACTGCTGAGCTATGAAGACACCCACCCACTGGTCCTGTGCCCGCTCCAGGTGCAGACTTGACACTCATAGCAGAGCAGGCCAAGCCCCCACTGAGCCAATGTGTCCAGGAGACCCCTGCACTGACCACCCATGGGGCCCAGGCCCACCCACTGCATCTGTCTGCTCACTCACCTTTCCCACAGACTCCTTTTGAGAAGAAGTTGCACACAGCTGAGCCCGACTCTGAAAAGCGGGGAGGGAGAGGAGAAGCGAGCTTCCCCATGAGCAAGGCAAGGCCCCATGGACCTCCTCAAGGCTAGGGCCATTGACCCCCAAATCTGGGCCAGCCTCCAAGCCTTGAAACCTAACCCCCACTCCTCACCCCTCAAACAGAGAGAAGGAGGAGGACCAAGGCAAGGTCGCCCTGGAGCTGGTCAGCTGGCCTAGCTTCTCTGGATTCACCTTCTCTCTGTACCTTTGTTTTCCCAGTCTGGAAAATGGGCTGCACAGAAACTAGCTCCATTCTCCCAGAGTGCTGAGTCCCTGAGAAGAAAGGGGGTGCACTGGAATTCCCAGACGATGGACACAAGCCCTCCTCCCCAGTCCCCCTTGTGAGAACAGAGCCATAGAGAAGGGGCCACCCCACCAGGGTGGGGGGCTGATTGTGCCCACTCACTGTCCATGCCCTGGAAAGGCAGGAGGCCGATACCCCTCTGGGTCTCCACATCTTCCTCAAAGGCAAACGTGAACTGGTGCAACCCTGCAATGAGTTCCTGCATCTTCCAGTTCCAGCTCAAGCCAAGGAGGCTGGGAAGGCCTGCCAGGTGGACTCTATATAGGCTCCTGGGCGGCCTGAAGGGTCCGGGGCTGATGCTGCCCATCCCCTACCCTCCACCCCAGGAGCCAGTGACCCCTGGGTATTCTCCAGGATTGGGTTTAGGTACAGTCACCTCAGAATCCCCACGCCCCCACACAGTGTCTCCAAGTCCCTCTCCCAGTGCATGCTGGTTTGGGGGGGGCGGGGTATTGCCTATCCCTGAGGGCTGCCAACACACACAACACCTGTGCAGACATTACCAAACCTACACTCATACTTTATACCTGAAGGTACAGCCACAGGTGAGCAAAGCCTGAGAGTTGCACAAATCATGCCCCCAGCAAGGCGGTTTGGAGTCTGCCCAAGCTTAAGAACCAAGTGAGGTGGGGAGGGGGAGTGAAGGTAATGCTGAGAGCCCCAGCTGCCCACTCCCACTGGGACCTCGGGCACCCCTGAGCTGGCCTGAGTGACAAGCCTGACTTGAGCGCTTCAAAGGAGCCAAGAGAAGAGGAAGGATAGGAAGGCTAGGGAGCAGGCCATGAATGAGGCTTTGTTTCCTTCTCTCCAACACAGCTGCCAGGCCGGCCTCCCCGCCTGGATTCCATGGGCCACCCTGAGCCTGAGAAAGTGCTTTGTAAAGGAAATCTCTATGCAAATGTTGTTTTATTATTATTACACAGCCCTGCCCCCTGAGGTCTGGGGACGTTCGGAAAGACTGACACAGGACATTTTAGGACTCCCACCAGACCAAGTTTCCCACTTCCTGGGCTCCGGCCTCGATGGACCTCCCTCCCTCTCCTCATTGGAGCTGATGCCATGAGCCCAAACCACTGCGCCACCCCCTAATGGGGAGAAGTGGGCAGTGCCCAGAAGGCATGCAGCTGGTCCAACAGGACCCAGCCTGTTGCCTGTGCCTCTCCAGGTTTGCTGTTCTTTTGAATTTCAGATCTGAAAAGAAACTGGCTGGTGAGAGAGAGAGACACCTGGAACCCAGGTGGGGCTGGGAGGGGCGGGGAAGAGAACCAGGAGTTTCCAGAAGGTACCAGGAACCAGGACACAGAGGAGGGTCCGTGGAGGGTCTGGGAGGGAGAAGCTTTGATTCCCTGTCTACGGTGTTGGCCTGAAGGGAGTCTTGGTAGCACAGTGTTGGGCTACTAACTGCAAGGTCAGCAATTTGAACCCACCAGCTGCTCCTTGGGAATAACATGAGGCTGTCTGCTCCCGTATGAATTTACAACAGTTCTCTGCCCTACAGCGTCATTATAAGTCAGAATGGACTCGATGGCAGTGGTTATGCATTGAATCCCCAAAGCACGTCCATCTTTCTAGCAAAAACCCGCCAAACCCAGTAGTATCAAGTTGATTCTGACTCAAAGTCAGTGACCCTGTGTGGTACAGAGTTTTCTTGGCTGTTGTTAAGTGCTGTTTAGTCGGTACCAACTGATAGCAACCTTGTGCACGACAGAATGAAACACTGCCCAGTCCTGTGCCAACCTCACAACCATTGTTACTGCTACCACTGTGACAGTCCATCTCATTGGGGGTCTTCCTCTTTCTCGCTGACATTCCACTTTACCAAGCATGATGTCATCTTCCAGGGTCCAAAGTATGAGACGCAAAGTCTGGTCACTCTGGCTTCTAAAGAGCATTTCTTGACTAGGGTTAACCAAAAAGTGGAAGACCCTCAACAAGACGGATTGGCATGGTGACCACAACAATTGGAGCAAGTATAGCAGTGATTGTGAGGATACAGCAGGACCGGGCAGGGTTTCCGACGTGAGTCTGAACCCACTGGAATGCACTACCTAACAGACACAACAATTTTGACAGATTTCCAGTTCTTCCTTTTGCTGCTGACCTTGAGGTGACCAGTTGAACGCACACCCTTTGTACCACCCAGGGGTCTTCCATCTGTCTACACATGGTCCTTCAAGCTCATGGCATCCCTGAAAGGCAGGAAGGCCAGATGAGAAAAGCAAGGCCCAGGAAGGCCAGGAGTGGGTAGGGTGGGGCATGGAGAGAAAGGTGGTAGCAATGAGATCCATAAGCTTTCACTGGGCAGTGTTGTTCTAGGGGCAGAGGATGACCCACCCTCCTCTGGGCTGCTACCCTCAGGAATGGCAGGACCAAGTCAGGGAGACAGACAGCTGACAATACAGCCATGCAACAAGAGTGCTGGGGGACCCCAGGAGGGCTCCTCAGGAGGGTCTGGGATGATGCAGGGAGGGCTCCAGGAGAGATGGTCAGGAGGCAACATGGTAGGTTGAGAGAGTAGTCAAGGGTTCGGTTTGGTGGAAGCATAGGGTCGGGGCAGGGGAATGGAGGGTGACAGGCTGGACTGCTGAGCCGAGACCCGAACCTGGAACCTTTAGATCATGTCCAGGAGATGACTTCTTGTTCTGAAGGCAGCCGAGATCAACACACAGCACCTCAGATGGTGAACTGGGAGGCAAAGACAGGGTCTTCGAGGCTACTTCAAAACCAAACATCAAACCAGGAGTTGCCGAGTGAACCCCAAGCCATGGTGACCCCATGGGTATCAGGGTAGAACTGAGCTCCATGGGGTTTTCAAGGACTGATGTTTCAGAAGTAGATTGCCAGCCCTTTCTTCCGAGGTACCTGAGATTATTAACTGGTTACATCACTCAGGAACTCCAACTGTGGAATTCTGCCTGCGGTGTCTCCTAGCTCTCAGGAGGCCCACAGTGAGTCAAGTGCTGTCAGAGGGGTGAGCAGCAAGGAGACCTCCCCCCCCAGCTGAGACCTCCTCCCCACACCCACTTCCTCTTCTGTCCTCCTCCTCTTCTTGTCCCAGTTGTCTGGGCCTGGCCGGCCTACGTGTGTAGCCAACGTGGTAAGGATCCATTTCCCATTCCCAACAGCTCAGTGTTCCTTTGTCATAAGAATGATGGTACCTTGCATTTATGGTTTTTGCTGATCCAAAATACCTTGCCATTTGGAAATGCAGATCGGAAGACCTCATCCCATTTTACAGATGAGCAAATAGAAGCACAGTGATGTTGAGTGAGTGCCAGGTCTCACAGTTCATGTGTCTCAGAACTGGGCGTGGAATATGGTCTTCCAACTCCCAGGACCTTTTCCTATCCTCTATCTAGCTCTAGCCAAGGGGGCCTGAGTTTATACTCTGGTTTATACTGGTTTCTAGGTCCTGAGGTGAACGGACATTATCTCCCCATGGGACTTGATAACAGAACCCCTGACCTACCTCACACTTCTCATCCAAGGGCTCAGTCCATCCTCACTACAACCTTCTGACTTGTTCTACCCATTCTACAGATAAAGAAACCGAGACCCAAAGATGTGAAGCAACAGCGTAAGTGTAGATAGGCAGAAGATACGAGAATGCAGCTGGCGCCCCAACCTTTGTCACAGACAGAAAGTGACACCCAGGCCAGAGAGGCTCAGGTTGTGCCAGGACTGGGAGCCCAGTGTTTCCAGCTCTACCCGTCTGGACCCATTCCGTCTTTGCCCTGGAACTTATCCTGAGCACTTGTGTTTGTATTTATTAATTCACGGCTGCAAAGAGCACATGCCAATCGCTGCACACACAGTGATGTTAATTTTTTAATCACTATCATTACAAGGATTTCACTGAACTCTAGCTGCAGGATTTCTGAATCATCAGCATGTCCCTGCCTTTTTCTCTTTGTAAATGATTGCTCTGAAAAACAGGCCTGGGACCTCTGGTGGAGGTCACCCTCCCGTCATCTCCCTGGCCTTGGGCAGCAGCCAGAGTGTTTCTGGGACAGAATAGCCACACCCTCCTCCTTTTTATCTCGTGCATTGTCCTTGCTCCCACCTCGGGCACCATGAGTTCATGCGCAGGGTGCAGACTGTGGCTTGGGTTCAAATCCTGACTTTGGCAGTCACTAGTCCCATAATCCTACTAGTCACTGAGTCGCCCACTGAACCCCAGGTAAGGTCGTAAAATGGACTTTCTCCGTGAGGGTGTGAGGAGACATAGAAGTGGGTGTGAATGCCTGGCACAGGGAGGGGTTGATTAGAGAATTCTCCAGGAAGGAAACACCTGTCTACTATTAACCCACTGCTGGCAAGCTGAGTCCAACTCAACGCCACTGATGTGGAACAGAGTAGAATGACTACACAGGGTTGTTGTTTAACTGTAATCTTTACAGAAGCTGATTGCCAGACCTTTACTTCACAGCACTGTACTGCTGGGTGGGTTTATTCTGCCAACATTTCGATTATTAGTTGAGTGAAGAGTAACCCATGTGTGGCATCCAGAGGCTCTGTCTAGGGTTAGCCCTTCCCCCAATAAGGCAGGGGGATGGGTGTGGCTTGATAGCCAAGGACAGAGGTAGCCTGCTCCTGCCGCAAGTCCCTGGAGGATAGACACTGGACTGCAAACTGCAAGGTTGGCTGTTCGAGCCCACCAGCTGCTCCATGGGAGAAAGATGAGGTTTTCTGCTCCTACAAAGATTTACAGCCTCGGAAACCCTATACTGAGTCGGAACTGACTTGATGGCACTTGACAACAACAACTAGGGACACTTAAGGAGCCCTTGGTGGCATAGCGGGCTCTGCATTGGGCTGCTACCCCAAAAGCTTGGCCGATTGAACCCACCAGGTGCTCTGTGGGAAAAGATGAGGCTGTCCGCTCCTGTACAGATTTAGAGTTTTAGGAAGTCCTAGAGGGCAGTTCTACGCCGTCCAAAAGCATCATTTTTCAATTTTAAAGGAATCTCTGAAAAACAGGTGCTAGGCAGAAGAGGTCAAAAGACCCATGTTTCTTGAGGAGCTGTGAGGGTTCTTCTGCTGTGATCCAGGAGGGGTAGATTTTCATGGTGTTGGGAGAGGCAGGAGGTCAGGAGAACTCTGGCCCATAACCCAGGAACAAGAAACCAGTGTCTTCTCCTCTCCACTGCTCTTTGGCCCCCAAGATGCCACTTGGTGTGGCCAGCTGTTGGCCCCACAATAAAT